CAACACAGATATGCCGCCTGAAACACCTCAGCTAGAGGGTCGGCGTAGCGGTGACACAGTATGGTGTGAGTGCGGATGCTGCCAGATAATGGCTAGAGAGTACGAGTATGGGGGGTGATAAGTGCCTGAATTAAGCCTCGTGAAGATACTGATACCTCTCACCAAGTCACCTAACGCCTTCCTAGCACCATTAAATACCGCCATGAATTAACATGGACTGTCAATGGAGCAAAGTTTTTTTCAAAGCTGAAAAGCCTTCATTAACATACTCCCAGAGATAGCAAGACATTCAGTATTCACTGAATGAAGTAGCCTACCCATCCCCATTTACAATTTCAATTAATCAATGAAATAAATTATACTATAGCACATTCAATGACATTATTATTGTAGACTATAGGCTAACATTCAATGACATTATTATTGTAGACTAGGCTACTCCTGTATCCACACTATATTAGGATACTGTTATGATTTCATTGGTCTTGTCAGGCATGATTTGAGGTCTTCCATCAAAGTTGTATGTCGTACCTCGTTCCCTTCTTCAGTGAAAAGTAGTTATGCATCCCCCATTCAATTCAGTTCGAGTGTGAATGTGTAGGCCTAGTGACAGTGGAAAAATAAACCCATAGCTCCAGCACACAATGGCATGTAGGGGTAGTGTATTACAATGTAAAATATGTATATATCCTATAGTACAATGGCATGTAGGGGTAGTGTATTACAATGTAAAATATGTATATATCCTATAGTAAAATGGCATGTAGGGGTAGTGTATTACAATGTAAAATATGTATATATCCTATAGTACAATGGCATGTAGGGGTAGTGTATTACAATGTAAAATATGTATATATCCTATAGTACAATGGCATGTAGGGGTAGTGTATTACAATGTAAAATATGTATATATGCTATAGTACAATGGCATGTAGGGGTAGTGTATTACAATGTAAAATATGTATATATCCTATAGTACAATGGCATGTAGGGGTAGTGTATTACAATGTAAAATATGTATATATGCTATAGTACAATGGCATGTAGGGGTAGTGTATTACAATGTAAAATAGGTATATATCCTATAGTACAATGGCATGTAGGGGTAGTGTATTACAATGTAAAATATGTATATATCCTATAGTACAATGGCATGTAGGGGTAGTGTATTACAATGTAAAATATGTATATATCCTATAGCACCACGTATGTATATTTTCATTTACAATTTAATTAATCCATTAAGTAAATAATATGAGCACATCAAATTACATTATTATTGTACACTAGCCTACTCCCCACACAGTAAATAATAGTGTTTTCGACAATACATGATCAACTCTTTATCAATAAAAAGTAATTATTTTCAAATAAACCAAATTTGCCTTATCAACACAGAAGGCCTAAATATTTCCTAACGATAACACAACTTAAATATAGCCTACTTATTCCTCAATCAGATCAAGGACATCTTGGTAATTATTTTAATTGTCTCTAAGGAAACTATCTGGGGCAGACACCCAAAAAAACACTTGTAAAAAAATAAACAAAATAATGTCTGTGTTGCAGCCGAGCTCTCAAATACCGTACCTATCTCTCACTCTACGAATGGTCACTCCTACCCAGATTCCTTGAGAAGTCCCTGTTCTGAACCCTAAACCCTAAACTATAACCCTTAACTAACACTAAACTTAACCTTCAATCAAGTATAAATGTAAAATGGTTATCTGATGTAGGCTACTGGGAACTGGTAACAACACAGTCTGTGATTGGCTAACAACATTTAGATCTGTATTCAACGAGATAAGATAACATACCATGCATGCCATGAGGTGTTGAGGGAAAGACAGATTACCTATAGATTGGACATAATCTTTTCTAGGCAATTAGCGATAACAGGAAATACACAAGCCTTAGGCTACACTATAGCTCAAGGTGATGACTTCGGAATGTCGGCTTGCATGGGAAAAACTGTACGTTTCTAACATTTATGGTTGAGATGTAATTATTATAAATATAAACTATGCACCTTATGACATTAATTAACACGCAGGCGTTAGCAGACCCGTCGCCAGACCTCAGTCTTAAGGGGGGCATATGAAATGCATGGGAGGGCAGGGCACAATTAATATTAGCCTACAGTACGTATATTTAATAATAAATTCCCTCAAGTGGGGGGGGGGGGGCACAAGCATTTTTGGGGGCGGGCCCGGCCCCCTATGGCCCGCCCATAGCGACGAGTGTGGGCGTTAGTAAGGTGTTGGTATCATGTCATGTCAGTCAGACGTTCAATGGTAGGCGACAGCCACACGGTGGTACGGTTGTGGTCCCCTGTAGCTCAGTTGGTAGAGCATGGCGTTTGCAACGCCAGGGTTGTGGGTTCGTTTCCCACGGGGGACCAGTATGAAACAAATATAAAAAAATACAATTTAAAAAATGTATGCACTGCTAAAATGACTAAAATGTAAAAAAAAGTGTTGCCTAGGCTTAATTCTGGTACATATCACCCCCCATAACAGCCACACTGTGGGAAGGTTGCCTAGGCTTAATTCTGGCACATATCACCCCCCATATGTGTATGTGTTGTAGAGAGATGGTGGCTAAACAGCACAAAATCCCAGCGGATGTTGGCTGTATAACATCCAGTCAGAGGTTCCTGTCAGTCTGCCTGGATGGCGATGTTTTGGACGTGTCACTAATCCTAATGAAGGACTTCCTGGCAGAAGAGTTTACTCGACCAGTCAGCAGTCGGTATGCCAGTTAAATAATTGCTTAAATTTTGCTTGATTATAAAGCTAACATCAGTAGTGGGTAGGTGCTCAATATATATAATAAGTAACCAATAACGATGTTTATCACAAGCACTGTTTGGCGCGATGGTATAACGCATTCACCGTTTGATTAGACAACCGGAGTTCGAATCGCAGACAGCATCATGATTCATAAAATCTCATTCTAACCAATAATGGGGCGTGTTCATTATAAATACGTTGTGATTTAGGTTCGGTATCAGACTAACTTGAATTATGATTTTGTTTGCAGAGCATACAGGCTGTCAGTTTATCGCTAGTTCACCCTTTGGGCACAAGGGAGAATTGGACGAGGTGTACCGCGTGTCATCCCTGTGTGTGTCGTCTCTTCCATAAGGCGCGCATACCCAGAAGCAAGTGGCATTTACGTAGGGTTTGAGTTGGAATAAAACCAGTTCATTTAGTAAATGTAGCCTGCTGTAATTTTTTTCAAGACATAGGCCTAATGCCTGCGCCTTATGTAAAAATAGTATTAGTTAGCTTGTCCACTATAACAGCAGGTTCAAGCGTAACCAGATAAACTTGCTTTGAAGATAAAACTACTTTCAACGCGCACTAACCCCGTGTCCCTATTGCTAGAGTAGTGACTTCAATTAGCCTTGGCTGCCATCTATTGGAAAGGAATGGTAACTACACTGGTCAAAGGAGACTAATAATACATGCCATTTAGCAGACGCCTTTATCCAAGGCGACCTGGCTACATGGTAGTGGAAACAGATAATAGAAACAGGATTACAAAAATACATAGTCAATTACAGGGTTATTAAGGTGTTTTTACAAGTTCCAATGAAACAAGAAGAGGAGTCACATGAAAGGCTTGTGATTGCAAGTCTTTGCCTTATGCACAAGATCAATAGACAAACAACAGTAGCATACCTTAAAGGGTCAATCAGCAGTTGCTACATCAATTTTTGCACTTATAAATGAATGATATGTAACCATTGACTCTTGAAGAATCTAACTTATACATGCCTCATGAGCTTAGTTCCACTTCCGTACCCGATCAGAACCCCAAATATAAGCCTGTTTTACTCCAACGTTTGTAAACAAAGAAAATGTAAACAAACACAATACAGCTTCAAAACATGGTTAAAACTGTAATTTTTATATAATGGATGGTCAGTCCGTGCATCTATAGCTCTATGAATTTGAGAGTGGTTACATTTCTCCAGCCCCATCCCTCATCTTTTTACCGAAAGAGGAGTACTGCTGCTGATTGCCACTTTAAGAAGTTAAGTTGCAGATTAAATACACACCAAAATATGTTACAGATTGTCACGGATTCAGCCGAGGCTGCTCCTCCTCCTTGCTCGGGCAGGCTTCGGCGTTCGTCGTCACTGGAGTATTAGCTGCTACCGATCTATGTTTCTGTGTTCTACTTGTCTTGTCTTTATTGTTCACACCTGGTTCCCATTAGGTATTGCTTTCTTCCATATTTAACCCTCTGGCTCCCACTGTATGTTGTGTGTGTTTGTTCATGTTTGGTTGTCGTCTGGTGAGCGGGTTTGTTTCCTCCCTGCGTGGAGGTTATGTTACTTACGTTACCTACGAGTAAAGTACGTTTTTGATCAGCTCTGTGTCCTGCGCCTGACTTTGCCCTACCGCATCACACTGACCGCCTGACACAGATACAATAAAATGTCCCATCACTCAGACAGTTAGTGAATACACAGCATGCAGCACAGCAAACAATCAATCAATCAAATGTATTTTACAAAGCCCTTTTTACATCAAAATAATAACCACAGTGGTTATAGAGGGTGCAACAGTTCAACACCTCAGGAGCAAATGTCAGTTGGCTTTTCATAGCTGAGCATTCATAGGTCGAGACAGCAGGTCTGGGAGAGAGAGAGTCGAAACAGCAGGTCCGGGACAAGGTAGCACGTCCGTTGAAACGGGTAAAACAATTTGTGGAAAAACAATTCCACTCCGATTCCCTTTATGGATGTGTGTATCTTTAAATTTGCTGTTGAATGGCCTGCTCCTTCTCCATTTTCGGAACACCAGCCCGCTCCCCCAAAGTGACCGCCACTCTCTCTCTTTGGGCACTCAGGAGAGTCCACTGGGATGGTCCTAGAGCCAGATACACAAGTTATACAAATCATAGTTCTGCTTCTACTATAAAATACATGACAGTACCTCTGCCTTCCCGATGGCCACCAGCTGTTTCCTCACACCTTTGGCAATGTGTCACAGGTCATACTCATGCCAGATATCAGCATGTGAGTCCCTCAAGTGCACCCTCACACTTGGATGCCTGTCAGTGGCCAGGGTTTCAATACTGCATCCATGGGCCTGTTAGTAATAATGGTTTTATTATTATCCTAAAGGTACCCACATCCTCTTCATACAGCCATCAAATACTCACTTACAACTCTTAGGCTAGCTACAAAATATAGGTTAGGTGATATCTTACCTCAATGTGTTGCAGGCATCTCTCTAATCCCCCAGTCTCTAACCAGTAGCTGTTCTTCACTTCGGTCACATGCACAGTCTCCTGGGCGAGGATCAGGTGGGAAGCAGAGTCCAGGATGGTGTAAGAGTCAAAGGAGTCACAATGGCCGGGCGAATCACACCGTGCATCTCCAGATACGATCAGTGGACTGTCACCAATTGTAGCCAGAATGGACTCTGTGTGCTGGGTCCACATGTGGTTAACCTCTGGCACAATGTAGATGCGATGTTGGTTTGTGAACTGTTGCAGCGACATGGACACCAGGCTGAGGAGGTGACATGTTTCCACAAATATGGAGTGGGAGCCGCCAGTAAGGAAGACCGCTGATGGCACCAACAGATTCCCTGCAAACAACTTTCCCACTCTGGTCTGGGACTCCCACTTCCTCCTGTGGCCCACAACAAACTGTCTCCATGGTGATGACAAAACCATTTCTTTTCAGGGGTGAACTGATGACACCTGCTCGACATCCTGGCTCAGACACTGAACAACTCCTTCAGCTTGCTATCAAAGACTATGTATTTCGGATCTTGCACACACTCTTCGATAGTATATCTTGGCTCGCACTGGGATGATTTTGATTCTGAGCTCTCAGGTTCATACAGCGAGTTATGGTCTTCACTGATCTCGCTCTCACTCTCCGTCAGCTCCATCTGTAGCGTATAGGGGCAGGACTCGGTTGTATACTGATGGTCGTGAGCGCAATCTAGCTGGGCCTCGAGCTCTTTAGTGATTGTCCTGGTGGACCTCTTCTCCACCGCAGCACAGGAACACTCTGGCACCCAAGGGTCAATTTGGCATGCTGTACTAACCATTGTTTCCTGTTGATACAAAACAATTTAGGCATCTATTAGGCTATAGTTATATTCAAGAATCACTGCATATACTGTATATTGTCAATTTTATATCCAAAATGGCCTCAGGGATGACATATTGTGTCTTGAAATAAACAATAGCCTTAGAAATAACATGGATTTGCATATACCTCCTCTGCCTCCTCCAGGTTGAAAACCTATTCAGGGATGAAGATGTCATCCTGAAAACAAACAAACGTTTTGTTAAGACAACTGAACCCAAATATATCAGTTGGCGTTAACAAGCTACCAGTCTTGTATGCTATGTCAACACACACACACACACACACACACACACACACACACACACACACACACACAAACACAGCAAATACAGGGGCATTTAATTTTCAGCAAACATTAGCTATGTCAATGTTATTTTTATTAGTTATTTTTAATTATTATTATAATAATAATATATATATATAATTTTTTAGGGGGTAGATCAGCTTTAATATTGCAGATAGATTGTAACTTCCATCAATGTAATTGTCTGCATCACCATATGTTTTTTTCTCTCACAAATATATATATATAGTTCAAGTCGGAAGTTAACACACACCTTAGCCAAATACATTTAAACTCAGTTTTTCACAGTTCCTGACATTTAGTACTAGTAATAATTCCCTGTCTTAGGTCAGTTAGGATCACCACTTTATTTTAAGAATGTGAAATGTCAGAATAATAGTAGAGAGAATGATTTTATTTCTTTCATCACATTCCCAGTGGGTCAGAAGTTTACATACACTCAATTAGTATTTGGTAGCATTGCCTTTAAATTGTTTAACTTGGGTCAAACGTTTCAGGTAGCCTTCCACAAGCTTCCCACAATAAGTTGGGTGAATTTTGGCCCATTCCTCCTGACAGAGCTGGTGTAACTGAATCAGGTTTGTAGGCCTCCTTGCTTGCACACGCTTTTTCAGTTCTGCCCACATATTTTCTATAAAATTGAGGTCAGGGCTTTGTGATGGCCACTCCAATACCTTGACTTTGTTGTCCTTAAGCCATTTTGCCACAACTTTGGAAGTATGTTTGGGGTCATTATCCATTTGGAAGACCCATTTGCGACCAAGCTTTAACTTCCTGACTGATGTCTTAAGATGTTGCTTCAATATAACCACATCATTTTCCTTCCTCATGATGCCATCTATTTTGTGAAGTGCACCAGTCCCTCCTGCAGCAAAGCACCCCCACAGCATGATGCTGCCACCCCCGTGCTTCACGGTTGGGATGGTGTTCTTCGGCTTGCAAGCATCCCCCTTTTTCCTCCAAACATAACGATGGTCATTATGGCTAAACAGTTCTATTTTTGTTTCATCAGACCAGAGGACATTTCTCCAAAAATTATGATATTTGTCCCCATGTGCAGTTGCAAACCTTAGTCTGGCTTTTTTATGGCAGTTTTGGAGCAGTGGCTTCTTCCTTGCTGAGCGGCCTTTCAGGTTATGTCGATATAGGACTCGCTTTACTGTGGATATAGATCCAGCATCCTCCAGTATCTTCACAAGGTCCTTTGCTGTTGTTCTGGGATTGATTTGCACTTTTCGCACCAAAGTACGTTCATCTCTAGGAGACAGAACGCGTCTCCTTCCTGAGCGGTATGACGGCTGCGTGGTCCCATGGTGTTTATACTTGCGTACTATTGTTTGTACAGATGAACGTGGTACCTTCAGGCGTTTGGAAATTGCTCCCAAGGATGAACCAGACTTGTAGAGGTCTACACATTTTTTTCTGAGGTATTGGCTGATTTCTTTTGATTTTCCCATGATGTCAAGCAAAGAGGCACTGAGTTTGAAGGTAGGCCTTGAAATACATCCACAGGTACACCTCCAATTGACTCAAATTATGTCAATTAGCCTATCAGAAGCGTCTAAAGCCAAGACATAATTTTTTGGAATTTCCCAAGCTGTTTAAAGGCACGGTCAACTTAGTGAAAGTAAACTTCTGACCCACTGGAATTGTGATACAGTGAATTATAAGTGAAATAATCTGTCTGTAAACAATTGTTGGAAAAATTACTTGTGTCATGCACGAAGTAGATGTCCTACCCGACTTGCCAAAAGTATAGTTTGTTAACAAGAAATTTGTGGAATGGTTGAAAAACGTGAGGGAAAAAAGTATTTGATCCCCTGCTGATTTTGTACGTTTTCCCACTGACAAAGAAATTATCAGTCTATAATTTTAATGGTAGGTTTATTTGAACAGTGAGAGACAGAATAACAACAAAATAATCCGGAAAAACGCATGTCAAAAATGTTATAAATTGATTTGCATTTTAATGAGGGAAATAAGTATTTCACCCCCTCTCAATCAGAAAGATTTCTGGCTCCCAGAAACACAAAAGAACTGTCAATCTCCCTCGGCCTGGGGCTCCATGCAAGATCTCACCTCATGGAGTTGCAATGATCATGAGAACGGTGAGGAATCAGCCCAGAACTACACAGGAGGATCTTGTCAATGATCTCAAGGTAGCTGGGACCATAGTCACCAAGAAAACAATTGGTAACACACTACGCCGTGAAGGACTGAAATTCTGCAGCGCCCGCAAGGTCCCCCTGCTCAAGAAAGCACATATACAGGCCCGTCTGAAGTTTGCCAATGAACATCTGAATGATTCAGAGGAGAACTGGGTGAAAGTGTTGTGGTCAGATGAGACCAAAATCAAGCTCTTTGGCATCAACTCACTCGCCGTGTTTGGAGGAGGAGGAATGCTGCCTATGACCCCAAGAACACCATCCCCACCGTCAAACATGGAAGTGGAAACATTATGCTTTGGGGGTGTTTTTCTGCTAAGGTGACAGGACAACTTCACCGCATCAAAGGGACGATGGACGGGGCCATGTACCGTCAAATCTTGGGTGAGAACCTCCTTCCCTCAGCCAGTGCATTGAAAATGGGTAGTGGATGGGTATTCCAGCATGACAATGACCCAAAACACACGGCCAAGGCAACAAAGGAGTGGCTCAAGAAGAAGCACATTAAGGTCCTGGAGTGGCCTAGCCAGTCTCCAGACCTTAATCCCACAGAAAATCTGTGGAGGGAGCTGAAGGTTTGAGTTGCCAAATGTCAGCCTCGAAACCTTAATGACTTGGAGAAGATCTGCAAAGAGGAGTGGGACAAAATCCCTCTTGAGATGTGTGCAAACCTGGTGGCCAACTACAAGAAACGTCTGACCTCTGTGATTGCCAACAAGGGTTTTGCCACCAAGTACTAAGTAATGTTTTGCAGAGGGGTCAAATATTTATTTCCCTCATTAAAATGCAAATCAATTGATAACATTTTTGACATTTGTTTTTCTAGATTTTTTTGTTGTTAATCTGTCTCTCACTGTTCAAATAAACCTACCATTAAAATTATAGACTGATCATTTCTTTGTCAGTGGGCAAACATACAAAATCAGCAGGGGATCAAATACTTTTTTCCCTCACTGTAATGGTGGATATGAGGCTTGAGGATTAAGCCAATATGTAATGCATATACAGTGATTAGTATTGGGGGCATTTATTTGACCTTGGAACATGTTTTAAAACCCACATTTAATGCAAACGTCAATTAGATGTGAACAAATAAAAATCATTGTTAATGTTTAGACATATTTTTCATACATCATTAATAAATACAGGTTCAATATAGGTTAATGATACTTTTCTTGAACAAATACAAGTTAAATATAGGTTAATGATACTTTTCTATTACGTGGAGGACTTTAATTTGAACATTTCCTAAATTCCTTCCTTCGATGAGGTGTAACGACGGTTGGCTTCCTTTACGGTATTCCGTGACCCGGAAGTACTTTTGTAGTGTTTTTGACGAGGTGCTGACGGTCGGTATCAACTGGATGATAAAACAAGATCTATCGGTTCAATACACTGGTAAGGTTGTATGAAGACCGTCAGTCTGCAAATTAACTAAACTGGAACTAGTAGCTAGTTTTAGCGTAGGTATTATTTTCAGCCATGACGTGCGATTCGCCAAGCTAGGAAGACGGGGAACTAGCTGCTAGCCTGCTTTGCTAGCAAACACGAATCATATCAGATAATAAATTACCTAGCCAGCTTGTTTTATAGCTTTCATTGCAGTGATTATTGGCTGTTGTGGCAAAACACTATACATTTGTAACGCATTTAACTTGATAGAGTAGGCTTGATAGCTAGCGTTAGCTGTGACGAGGCAGTATTTATAAACTAAAACGTTAATATACACATACTCTTAACGGTTACGTCATAGTTCAAAACCCAGAGGCGCATGTAGCGAGACTTCCGGGAACGTTCGCGAAACAGCAGACCGTTTTGGGTTTGAGAAGTCAATGAGAGAAGTGAAAAAATCTAACTTAGTTGTACATTTGTTTCGAAATCTAAAGGCACAACCTAGTTGAACATGTTATTACCTTGTGAATGTGACAAAATGACACGTTTTCATTTTCGTCAAAAACAACTTTATATCGAAGGAGTGCCTTTTGATTTGACTGCGTGCACATGCGCAATTTGGCGCGAGACGACCGTTAGACCCGATGACGTGTTTCTGCGCATGAGCTTAGCTATCCAACGTCGCCATGACGTTGCCCAAAAGTGTGATCGGGGATTTGTATTGGAGAAGCAGTTTCTGCCTATCTTCGTTCTGTCTTTGGTTACATGCTTGAACCAGAATCTGGGTTTAGAGGGGATATGGCGAGTCTCCATTAAACCCAGGAAGCAGCTTAATAATGTCAAAATAGGTACAATAAGTTTTATATTGGATATTCGGTTTTTCTGTCATCAATAGCTATTGAACCAAGCATGCCGTGACTATGAAAATGGAGAGAGGCTATATGGGCACGCCTGGTGCGCACATTGATGACGTTTGTTTTGCAGAGAGAATCAAGTAAAGACGAACATTATTTTACATTATGAAGCTTTATAGTTCCCCAGAACAGTTGAGTGTTTGAGTGCATGTTTGTAAATACCACAACTGGAGAAAACAGG